CCAGGGTGAAACAATATTAACATGTTAAGAAAATACATTGTACCAAAGAAGAGATATATAATGGTTACCTCTGATTGTGGAAAAAACACTGTTATCAGAGACAGTCTGGATACAGAGAAATAAAACAAATAACAGGAAGTAGCAGGATGAAAGATTCCTAATCTTTGGATACTGAAATTGCTGAAGAAAATATTTCTATGTTTTTCACTAAAGGTCTAGACTTGCAGATATGTTAAGTTTTGATCAAATAAATGAGAAAAGCTCAGGTTGTATGTGACTTTACAGACCCCCCTTTGCTCTAATAACTTGGCTTTGAGAAATGAATCCTGAGACTAGTCCTGATCACTTGTGCACACTGTTGAGGACTCTGCAAAACAGCAACACAAAAGGGAGAGCCTGGTCATCAAAGCTGTAGGCTGAGAACTGAGTTTGGGGAAACAAGGAAGGAGATTTCTTCTTCAGGTTTATAAAAAGGGTGGAAATTGTAAGCCCCTTTGTCCTCAGGTTGGGTTGGCTGGGACATTTCCTGAGGGTCGTGACCTGCCCGTGACTGGATGCTCTAACCTCACCTGCTCCCTGGAACACGCCTCCCACAGGCCAACATCTACCAAAGGGGAGAAGCAGTCATCCACAGGGAAAAAAAGGTGGCAATATTTCATTTTCAATATTTCAGATTCAAACCACAAGTTGTACATTTTACTTTTATGAACACACCTGTTCCCCTACCCCAATATTTGGTGAAACATACTTTCTTAATTTTCTTATCACAAATAGTGTTTTCCATTTTTTTCTACCTTTAAACTTAAAATATATATAAATAGTTTGTTTCACCAAATTTCAATCCTCAAATTCCAAGAGTATATTTAAGTTATTACCTTCCAAAAGAGAATGCTGCAGTGCCGACAAAAATGTAAAGTGTCTCCATACTGTTCTTTAGTTGGGTAATATTTCTGAAGTGCAAAATACATCAACTTCCATTCGATATGACCTTTTTCTGAAAGGATCAAATGTCTACAAAACTAAACATAAAAAAATTCTGTTCAGAATCAGAAGATATTTTAAAGCATAATATTAGGGGCAAAACTATTTTTTAAAGGCAGTGTAGTCCATGAAACATTTAATTATTTGACATTAAACTCACCTGGATAAATCATAAAGAATTAAATAAATCATGGTATGTCTGTATAATGGAATACTAAGCAGCTGTTAAACACTTTTAAATATTCTGATATATCATGGACATCATTCCAGATCAATCAGTTGAAATAAGTTACATACATCATATATATATGATAAGGGACCTGTACCTAGAATAAATAAAGAACACATACAAGTCAATAATAAAAAAGACAACCCAATTTAAAAATGGGTAAAGGACTTGAAAAGATCTTTCTCCAAAGAAGATATACAAATGGCCAATAACCTCATGAAAAGATGCTCAACAACCTGGTCACCAGGGAAATGGAATAAGATACCTCTTCAAACCCACTAGGCTGTAATCAAAACATCAGAAATAACAAGTGTTGTGGAGGATGTGGAGAATTGGGAACCCTCAAGCACTGCTGGGGGAATGTAAAACGGTATAGTCACTTTGGAAAAACAGTTTGGCAGTCCCGCAAAAATGTAATCAAAACATCAGAAATAACAAGTGTTGTGGAGGATGTGGAGAATTGGGAACCCTCAAACACTGCTGGGGGAATGTAAAACGGTATAGTCACTTTGGAAAAACAGTTTGGCAGTCCCGCAAAAAGTTAAACATGGAATTACCATATGACCCAGCAATTCTACTCCTAGGTATAAGACCCAAGAGAAATGAAAACACATGTCCACACACCAACTTGTACATGAATGTTCATAGCAGCATTCCTTGGAAAAGCTGCAAGGTGAAAGCAAATCAAATGTTTACCAACTGATGCATGGATAAACAAAATGTGGTAAATACACAGAAAGGAATATTATTCAGCCTTAACAAGGAATGAAGTTCTGATTCATGCTACAACACAGAGCCTTATGGACATGAAGCCAGACACAAAAGGACAAATACTTCATATTCCACTTATATCAAATGTCCAGAACAGGTAAATCCATAGAGACAGAAAATAGGTTAGGGGTTGCCTGGGGCTGGAAGAGAGGATGGGAGTGACTGCTGAACGGTAAGAGGCTTCTTTCTGAGGTGACGACAGTGTCCTAAAATCGATTGTAGTGATGGCTGCACAAAGTGGATGGCATCTTAATAAAGGTGTTACCAAAAAACAATGTTAGAGTGATATGCTTTCGATTATGGGAAAATAACAGTGCATAGCTATGTTTGCTTATGTATAAAGCCTGAAACAAAATGCATGGGCTAAAGGATTAACAGGGTTATCCTTGGGGTGGGAAGGCCTTTCCCTTGTTGGTTTGTAAAACACTGTACTAGTCTTTAAGACTGTTGTTGCAATGAGCATATTTGACTTTTTATAACTAAAAGTAATCACTTGTATAACATACTCATACTTTCTCATGGCTTTTGAGAACTTTACAAATTATAATTAAGTCAATGAGGAAATCTTGTTTCTAATAAAATTTGAAAAGAGAATAGCTCGAAAAATGAAGAGATGTAGTTACAGGCCTGGTTATATCAATTCCTGTATCCTCGGAGCACTGTTAAAACATTAGTTCCTAGAAAGAACAACTACTTGTCTCACTTCTACTTCACATCAATCCTTTGCTACACCCACGTTCACACGAAGAATTCTCCCATTCCCTTCATCGTTTTTCTCCTAAATAGTCATCTGTGACTTTCCTGAACTCAAATCCAACATCCATATCAGATGCTCAAGTCAACTTTTCCTTCTAACAATGTTTTAGACTAATTTTATTAATCCAGTCTTCACAACCCACTCAGTTTTCACTTTGAGGATGCTTCCTAACCAGTGCTGTTTTCATAAAAGTGATTTCTAATATGCTTGTCTTTTTTCAGTCTTACTGTTAGTTACTGGGCCCTGAAGAAAAGATAATTATTTCTCTGATGCTGTGTTTTTATAATTCAGTCAAGAAAATGTGTACAAACAAGATATGCACCTGTAGGTGCTAATACTGGTTTTAACGTAACCATTCTGGTAGGGCATTAAATATTGGCACAGAACAGACTTTTAACTTCTTTAATGTCATTCCTTTAAGGAATTGCAAGGCCTCACAAATGGTCGACAGATATCCTTAAAATGTGTTTAGGGTCTGGATGTATAAATACTGTCAGGCACTCTCACCAACACCTCTGGTAAACAGCTCAGACTTGAATGTAGGGAGGAGGTGAGGACACCCGGCCACCTGCTGCATGTCAGCATCTAGGGCAAGCCATGAGATGCGGGGGCCCTTACCACATGCACCTACCTTAATCCTCTTTTCCTAGGTTCTAAACCCTCCCTCCAAAAAGTTATTCACTCCTCCCTGTCCCCCATTTCCAATGCTGACTAAGAATTTTATCCACTTTCTTTCCAGCTCAAATGAATATCTGGATCCTTTTGCTTCTTGCCCAACAAGTCCACCTACAACAATTTCCCTGAGGTCACCCATGGGCTCTATAAAGCTAAATTAAGTGGGCTCTTTTTTGTCCTCCTTCTTGACCTCTCTGTCCAGGTTGCTCGCCTTGGGCTTCAGTGTCTGCTTCTCTCTGAGCTCTCTTGGGCACCTCTACTCTGTGTTCTCCGCAGTTTCCCTGTCATTCAGCTCCTCAAGGCTCTGCTTCCATCCTCTCTTGATAAGTCTGTCCAGGCCCTGCCTTTGCTGACCACTCTCATGTGAACCTCCCACTCAGACCTCTGCTGGGAAGATCCACCCCCAACTCAGCCTGTCAGGGTCATCTCCTCATCTTCTCTGTTGCCCTGGGCCTTCCCCTGGACAGTCTCTTCATGGGTCTCCCTGCATACACTCTAGTCTATTCCTCAAACAAGAAGACAGGAGCTTCTGAAAGTTGCAACATGTTGCAAATGCTTTGCTGGCTCTTCTGCAGGGTCATCTCCTCATCTTCTCTGTTGCCCTGGGCCTTCCCCTGGACAGTCTCTTCATGGGTGTCCCTGCATACACTCTAGTCTATTCCTCAAACAAGAAGACAGGAGCTTCTGAAAGTTGCAACATGTTGCAAATGCTTTGCTGGCTCTTCTGCGCTGGCTGGGTAATGATGATTTGGCATGGCCCAGCCTCTACCTCACCCCCTCGCCCTTCACCTCCTCACATACACATCACCCTCCTAAGGGCCTTCTCCCTCTGCAGGGCCTGCTCATGGCCGAGGTGACTGTGACCCAAGGAACACCCTGACCTCTTCCCTGTGCTCCCAGGGTCAGCAGCACTTGCCCGTGAAAAGTGCACAATTCCATCCCTCCTCTTCAGTGCTCCCCACACTGCTGAGCTGTGTAAGCATCTCCCTGTAGGCAGCTGCTCTCCCTGATGCACCCCTCACCCTGGCACAGAGCAGCTCCCCCCACATATCTGTGTGATGAATGGGGGACACCTGAATCCTGCAAAGGTTAGAAATGGTGACAGCAGGACTTCCCCTTGGGTGAGGGTAAGCAGACCTCCTGGAAAGAGCATGAGTGACACTTAAATGAGTTTGTGCTGCTCCCACCATGACTGAAGGCAGTGAGCAACACATGAGGAGGAGATGCTCTGTGGATGCTTGGGGGTGTCTGCTAAGTGATGGCAGAAAACGGCAGCTCATGGAGGTCGTGCAACCTTTCAAGGACACACAGCTTGGTAAAGGGCAAAACTGGAATCTGGTTCATCAAAATAAAGAGGAAGAGAAAAAGCCAGCGACTATGGTAAACCTTGTGATCAACAGATGTGATGAAAGAACTCAGCTCTCACTTTGCTGTTTGGTTTTGGGTTATTTTTTAGAATCACGATTCTTTTTGAATATGAAAAATAAATCTTACAATCTATAGAAGAGAAGCCATAAGAATTTCAATAAATTGTCATTGTTCCTGATTCTTTAAAAATGGGAACATCCAGCCATTCTCCCCACGTGAGTTCATGGACTGTGATTGCTGGGTGGAATCTACTACACACGTGACTCCAAGCGGACACCACTGCACCACACTCACCTGCTTTTCGGCAAAATGGTACTGGCACAGTTTCTTCCACAACTGTCTGTCTTCACTGAGCATGTACAGCGTGGGGGTCACTTGGCCTAAAGTTATGATGTCCCATCCGTCTGAGAACCGGTACAAGATGTTGTTCAGCATGTGCAAAGGAAGGTCGCTGAGAGTGAGGCCACTATTCACCTGCTGAAAGGAAAACACCGGTGACATTTCGATGAGAAGACAATGAACAGCATTTTTCCGTTTTTTCAATGGTCAAGCTTGAATAAATACTT